TCTATCTATCTATCTATCTATCTATCTATCTATCTATCTATCTATCTTTCTATTTATTTATTTGAGAGAGAGAGAGTGTGAGAGCAAGTGGATGGTGGGGAGGGGCAGAGGGAGAGGGACAAGCAGACACCCCGCTGAACATGGAGCCTGATGCAGGGCTCAATCCCACCACCCCGAGATCATGACCTGAGCTGAAATCCAGAGTTGGACATTAAACTGACTGAGCTACCTAGGCATCCCAATGATGTGATTTTTTTTTTATGTGAGTTTGGAGCACATGAGGAACAGTTGGGAAGATAAAAATTATGGAATTAAATATATGGATTTAAAAATATGGATCTGAAGGTCAAGTGGATGTTCCCTGAACGAAGGCAGAGATGTGGGATCTGAGACTGTGGAGGTGATTAGACCACCCCCAGAGGGTGGGGGGCAGGGCAGACATGAACGCTGATGCTCCCTAAGGCAGAGGAGGATGATCTAGGGAAGGACCTGGAAAAGGAGCTGACAGAAAAGAAAAAGAAGAAGAAGAAGGAAAAGAGAATGATTCAAGAGAGCATTCCTGTGGGGAGTTGTCTACCAGATGGTCTTCATCTTAAATCTTTTTATGAAAAGATTATTCATAGAAAGGGATGGAAATGTGACAGCTCTTAATATGCTCTGTGACTGTGAAACATCCAGAATTGTGTATATTTTGCATGATTGTGTTTATTAAAAACATACTAGCTTTTTAATAAATGACTTAGTAATTATAATAATAATTCTAATAAATAATAATCAGCCATGTCGGTTGATGCCTGGGCCTTAAATTTCATGAGGACCTGTCTCTCAAGTGTCCCTTTGGATGGGATTAAGTGAGTCTAGACAGCTCCAGAGTCCCCCCAAGGTTGCTAACTGACTGACCCCGCCCCCCTGAGACCACTATTCCCTGGGATGAAGGGTCAGCCTAACGATGGTGCTCACAGCCTTACCCCCTTCACTCCACTGGGTGCTCCTCTGTGCTTTGCCCTTCAGAATGGTCTCCAGAGACTTGCTTCCCCTGGCTGGTTAGGATGAGGGATGAGACCTTCTCGCCCCATAGTCTTGAGTACCAAGACTTCCAGCTACTTGGGATCATGCCTCCCGTCAGGAAACCAAGGCATCTGGCAAAGCCAGTTCCAAGGGATCCTCTGTGTTTGGTGGACTTTTCAGGCTTCTGAATGCTACTTGTTAGTTCTCTGCAAGTTGGTGCTCTCACTGTTATCACATCCCTGAGAATGGACTCCCAATCTGTGAGCCTAGTCCCAAATATGAATCAGAGCTAAGTGGATGGGAAACAACTCCCCAACTTCTATTCAATCCAGGAACTGTTTATTGAGTCTCTGCTCTGTGCAGGCATCTTCAGAACAGTGAGATAGCCACAAAGACCCCCAGGAATGTTTGGGTAAACATTCATAAGAACCTATCAGAGAAAAGAGTATATCAGCCAGATACATGCATGTCACCGCCAAGATGATCTAAGTCCCTGAAATGTGGTAGACATGGTATCTGGGAGCGCTTGGTGTGAGAGGCTAACATGGAGGAGGTCACTGCAAGTGGAGATAGTCAGGGGAGACTTCTTGGAGGAAGCAGGTATTTCTGCCAAATCAGAAGCTACCCTATTTGAATTGGCAGAAGAGGAGGAGGGGTTCTGGATAAAAGACCTCCAGGAGACACATAAGAAAGAATAACCATACTCTTTACAAAGGGTGGGGGATGACTCAGACTTTTGTTTGCTTTAGGAATTTACCTCCAGACAGAAGCTTCCTTTAAGTTTTCATCAAAAAGCAATATAATCCTTTTACTAAACACTCAGAAATAGAAAAAATTCACTCATGATCTCAGCATCTTAACACAACTTTTAGTGTTTTATTTTGCTTTTTTACTCTTACACATTTTTATAGGGTTGTAACCAAAGGAATGTAAGGAAATAGATCAGAATGCAACTATCATAAGTGTTTTTCCATGTTGGCTGACTGTACTAATTATCATCGTAATGGTAAAATAACATTCTTTCGGGTGATTATGCCATTACTTACTTAAGTTTTTGCATATTTGAGTTTTTCCCCATGTATTTGCTATTATAGATAATGTTTTTCTTCCTGTATGTGGCTTTTTCTATATTTTGGATCATTTCCTTAGGACAAACACTCCAAGTTACAGTTACTGCATGAAGGCTCTGAATATTTTTATGGCCTTAAAGTAAGTCTTTTGAAAAGCAAATTGGCAACATGCATTGATTTTTAGTGAGCCCAGCCACAAATGAGAGAGCCTCTTAACTGAAGCCTCACCCATATTAGCAATTTTAACTTAATACAAAAATCCTGCTTTAGTAAGTGAAAATCGTGCTGCTTGTCTTGTTCTTTTTTAAATTTGCGTCTCCCCACGTTTGCTTGTAACCTCTTATTCCTTCTTGGCAGCCAGTACGTTCGTGCTTTTGCCAGAAGCTCTAGTCCTCTCCATGCAGAAAAAATGGAAAATATGGGATGGGCTGTAGCCCGTGTTCCCAGCAAATGCTATTCTGAAAATCACTGTAGTATTTTAGTTTCAGTAAAAACGTATGTAAAAGCCAGAGGAGGTAGTGAGACTAATCACAGCCCCTCTCTGGGGAGACAGAAAGGAAGCCTGGATATATACTGGGCCCTGTGCCTCCCATGTTGTGTAAGGCAGCACACACGTGAGCCTTACACCCGGGCATATTCTGCTCTTTGTCATGGACTTGGGGAGGCTGGCTCTCCCCCACACCTTCACTCTGTGGTCTCTGCAGGTAACTGGCGTCCCGGAAGAGCAGATCCTGGTGGCCGTGTTCCCTGGCCTTCCCACTTCAGCAGAGCTCTTCATCCTTCCCCCCAAGAACTTGACGGAGAGGAGGAAAGGCAACGAAGAGGACCTGGAACAAGTAAGTGAGGGAACGCTTGGCGGGGGTGCTTGCCTGCACCTCCCAGTCCAAGGGCACACAACCTCACCTCCCGCTGCAAGGGGAGGGGAGCTTCCTCCCATTGGCCCAGCGGCCTGTCCGTCTGTCCAGCACCCAGGGCTGTGAGAAACAACAGGCTTGCCCAGAAGATGCCCAGGTGCACGCAGACTGGAGCATTCGGCACACAAGAAGGGAAGGCATCCCAGAAGCACTCATTCCAGCAGTTGGCATTCCTGCAACTTCCTCAGGTCTCCTGCCCAGTGACCTGCCCCTGGGGGGTGGGGGTGGGGGGACATAGGAGAGAGAGAAGGAGGGATCTGAGTGTCCCTGTATGTTTCTGGGAAAATAGGCTTCTTGTCCTTAAAGATCCCGGTCAGTCTAAGTTCTGCTTCAGGAGAGAAAACGAGCTGCTTTTAAACATGTTTCTGTGGAGAGAAATGGATTGTTTCATCGCGTTTTGGCTAAGGAAACAGCATGTCCAAGGGGACTGTGGTTTACCGTACTCATCAAATGGGCATGTGGTTCCTGTGATGAGCACACCATCCCGGAAGTCAAGGAGCTGGTTCTCCCTCTCTCACTTCTTGCTCCTACTGGGCTCTCATGGGCTGTGCTCTGCCTCACACTTCCCTGCCTTCCTGTGATGCTGTCAGGAGGGGTAGAAAAAAGTGAGTTTGAGGCTTCTCAACATCGACACGAAGCACACATCTGCTCCCACATGAGGCAGTCGTTGTGCAGACATCTTCCGTGTCTCTCCAATACTCACCTGCCTGCCACCTCACCCCCACGGCTGTCCACGTCCTCCTCAGGCAGCAGAGACCCGGCACAGTCCGTTCCTCTGGAAAATGAAGCAGATCCTCGTAGTGCAGGGCTGCATACGCAAGTTGGCCAGAAATAAATTCAGCTTCTCAATGCACACGTCACTTTTACAAGACCTCTTTATTCTGAAATAGCAAGTGGCATATGTGAACTATATTTGGAAGCTACAATATCCATCCGTTTAGATAAATAGGTAATTACGGTGATGAATAGCAGCTGTGATATTAAGGCACGTACAGCCAGATAAGAGTTAGGGACCATAACCCAAGTCGGCCCCAGCTTTCATGTGGGAATTATAGAGTGATTAAATTGATGTTATGTGTTCCGAGACTTGCCGGGGAAAAGTAAAGGGGAAAAATTATTCCATAAAAAGAAGGCAGCTTCTGCTTTGATGTCTGCCTCCCATTGTCTCCAAAAGAGAAAAAGCAGAGGAGTGGGCTGGGGACGTACGTCCCCGGCTTTCATCCTGGCAAGGGCCGCTCTACCCTGTGTGTGTTACTTCATTAGATTAAAGAACTAATGATGGGTTGATGTCCTTTCATTGGAAACCACAATAGGTTGTGCTACGGTGAGTTATAAAGGCATGGATGAAAAAGCACTGAACCAGGGTTTGAATGAAACATCGATGTCTGTTATCAACTGTAATTCACTGAGTGACTTTGGACACACCTCTCTCTGTCTCACTCTGCTCTCCAGGATAAGCGAATAACACCAACGACTTCTTTGGCCTCGCAGGGCTCTGAGGCCTATGAGAACCAGATTGATGAAAATGTCCCAATATCCTGTCTCCTGCTAGAACTTGGTCACTGTTTGCCTCTTGACCCTGGTTTCTTGCTCCACGAGGGAGGACTGTCTCTTGTCATGTCTTCCTGTGCACCTCTCTCTCTCTTTTTTTCCAGATTGTAGAGATGCTGTTTAATGCTCTAAACCAAAACTTGGTGCAGTTTGAGCTGAAGCCAGGGGTTCAAGTTACTGTGTTTGTCACACAGCTGACATTAGGTGAGTGCCTGCTGGGATCCAGGGGGAAATGGAGATGGTGATCTATTATCCTGGGGAGAAAAGGGAGGAGATCATTAGCAGACACTTCTCCACAAAGGCCTGAAAATAGCTTTGTGGGCGGGGCTCTTGTGTGTAGTGATGGTTACGAAAGATTAATCACATCTTTCTTGGGGCTTCCTGTTGAGGTGGCAAGAAGACTTCATTAGAAGTGGCTTTGCTATTGAATCTCTGGATGACCTTGGGGGAAAATCTACAATTTCCTTGGGCTTTGACTTAATTGTTTTTTGTTTGTTTGTTCGTTCGTTCGTTTTTATCCACAACAGTCAGGATTATAGTGGGTAGTCCTCAGGGTCTCTTAATTTCTACAATTCTCTGATTCCATGAATCTTGGTTGGGAGGCCACAAGAGATAACTTTAAAACTCCTTTTGATTTACAACAGGTAAATCTAAATTGATACAGAGATCAGCTCTAGTGATTGATTTGTAAAAGGAATTTGAAAATGTATGTCCCATTGGGTATCCACTACTGGCTCTCCAGGAGAGCCTATTTGCTAAATATCTCTTATTAATATAGGACTTTTCAGATGTGGAGGTTCTAAACGTGCCCACCCAGCAGTGTTTTCACAGAACCATGTAAAGGAAGAGAATGAAACATTGCATCAATATTTAATCCAAAATTCCCAATGGGCCACCCATAATTATGTTGACAGGTACTCAGGCCTTCTAAGAGAAAGAGCACTCAAGCCCCTCTTCTTTACTCCCCTTAGCTAGATACACATTACTCAGTTTACACCAAGAACAGTAAGTTTCTCCAGGCAGAGCAGAGGAGTTGTCCTAAGAAGCTGTGATTGAGGATACTATTTTCATCATTGAAACCAAGCTTCTGGATAGCACACAGTGCAAGGCAGTGGAGACTAGATATAAGGTTGGGACATCAGCTGGCCTCCTTTCTCCAATGGGAACTCCCTCCATCTAGTAGCTTCCAAGTGAGCCATCTGCTTTTTCCTCCTAGCTCCGTTGGTGGACTCCAGTGCTGGGCACAGCAGCTCAGCCATGCTTATGCTCTTGTCAGTGGTGTTTGTCGGCCTGGCTGTGTTTCTAATCTACAAGTTTAAAAGGTATGTGCTACTGTCACTCAATTTTGTTATTGAAGCTGGATTCTTGGGAGCTGATTCTTTCTATAGCCAACATTCCTAAACTTATTCCACATATGTGAAATTAATTCTCTTTGAAGTTCTGTTTGGCATTGGGGGAAAGCAGGAATGGTTGAGGGTCAAGGAATAAATGGGTTTAAAAATCTGAACCCTATCCAATTTATAGGTATATTGAGTTAGGAAGATAAGGGATAGCCTATGTAATCAATTTATTCTCTCTAAGAGAAGAGAGAATTTTCAAACCTCACCTAAATTTCTAAAGTAAGGTCTTGGATATTCAGGATATCTTTTCTACAGCTTACCAAACATTTAGGGTGGTTAAGTAGACCAAATGCAGCTGAAATCTGGAGCACACATGGACCCACGCACGTGCATGCACACACGCACGCGCGCACACACACACATTTTCCTATCTTGTGTTGCAGCTTACCTGGTCTCTCTGTGTAAATTTGCATGCTAAAAGTATTCAACCTTTACCCTTTCCCTCTTTTTCCTGTTTCTAAAGGGCAATTGATCAGGAAAACTAAACTTCACATGTATTCAGAAATTATGTTTGAAGGCCACAGGAGGGGTGACACAACAGGATTCTTATTAAAACATGAAATTGAAATCAATCATTCTGTACCATTATTTGAATAAGCTTCTACCAAGAGGTGTCCCGGTTCAGAGTATGAACTCTGCAATGAGACAGACCCCCAATTTTAACTTAGCATTTGTAGCTTTGGGCAATTGAATCTGCCTCCCTAAGCCTTCATCTCTTTATCTGTAAAATGGACAAAACAATACTTAATAGGCTTACTGTGCAGTTTAAATATAATAACATCTATACCTGGTACATACTAAATAATCAACAACGCTAAGCTATTTTAGATAACAGAGAACATGACATCCAAAGGTGGCTTCTGTGTCCCAACACGGCACATGGTAGGCTCTCAAAAAATCCTATCAGTGGCACAGAAATGTGCTTCATACAAAGACTGGTTAAAGTAAAAATATCATTAATTATTCTGAAAGCAAAACTTGGTCCTGGGAGTCTTTCTAGGTACTGAAGGTAATGCTTTTAGATTGTGAAAGCGATCAGCTGTAAAGGTGCTGTGCTCCACCCTCTCCCCCAGACCTCATTCACTGCCTTCTAGTGGGTAGCTCAGGCTTCAGAACACGGGTTTTCCTCAATATTCATCTCAGCATTGCCAAACTAGTGGGAAGCCTTCAACACCCTCCATATCAGGACAGAGTTTTACCTTCCTACTCAATTAATAGACCAGTGTGTGAGTTCATATCCTCTTGGATCAAGACATGCGGACCCACCTACCCATGTTGCCTTTGAAGATGGGAACAAACCTTTGTATCATAAGTAGAGAACAAAGATTCCATATAGAAATGGTCTAGTCAAGGCAAGGCCCATTTGTGGATATACTTCAGTTACATGCAAAGCACACTTTTATTCATCCAAGGATTTGATTGTGGGGAAGCCGGTGGTTGCTGGAGCTTGAAGAGAAACTAAACCAAATTTGTCACCTTTTGACTTCTAGAACCTCATGGTTGCTAAGGACAAGGGCCAGTAGAAGTCCTGCAAAAAGCTATTTGTGTCAGGCATCTCCAAACTAAGGCAAGACATCCTGTGACTTAGGAAGTTTTCTGTTCTCTTACAAATGCTGCTAAACTCCCTAGACAGTCAACCTATTAATGTAGGCGTCTCTAAATGTGTGCATTGGAATTCTTGAATCTCTGCCAGGTAATGACATCTCTGAATTATTCTTCCTCTGTCGTTCCCCAATATCAGCCAACTCTTTCTGTGTCCCTGACAGTGAATTATGTAGCTAAGGCCACAGGGAAGAAACACCACTCAGACTGGATGAACAGGAGAGTCAGCTAGGTACACTTACCAATCATCTGTTACCTTTTCTTTTCTAGCTACCTTTTCTGGACGTTTTCTTCCCAACGCTTAAGCCCTTTGGTTGAGGTCCTATTGGATCTTCTTTTATTTCTTTGGTCTTTTTTCCCTCCCCATCACCTGGAACTCTCTTGACGGCTCTCTGGAGGGTGCTGGGCTTGCTGATGAGTAAAGGTCAGGTTCTTATTTGTGCTTCCCAGAGGCTCCTTTGTTTCTTTAATCACCAATAGAACTTTCTGCGATGCTGAAAGTCAAATGTCTGCTATACATTCTGCTTAATGTATACTGCCCAATGCAGGAACCACTAGTATGACTGAGGAACTGAATTTTAAATTGTATTTAACTTTAATTAATTTAAATTTAAATACCTGCACCTGGCTAGCAAACATTCAGTACATCTATAGAAAGGGCAGTTCTGTTTCTGTTTCCAGATCACTGGCCACGCTGTTTTCAGACTCAGCACTTTTCTCTGCGTAATCATCAGCATTAACTCATTAAACCACTTATTCATCCAACAAACATTTACTGAGTGTCCACTATGTGCCAGGCACTGAAAACAATCTCAGTGCCCCAAGTGGTCACTTAGCAGGGAAAAGAGAAGAGAGCTATGGTGAGCCGCAAGCTTCCTTTATGTAAATATCACCCTGTTTCTCACATTTGATCTTATTCTTGGATAGTTATTTTCTGAAGTTTTAGACAAAGTAATTAGAAATCATTATGATATGGCTTTTATTATCTGAAAATTCTGCCTAACAAGACTTTCTTTCTATACTGTAGATCTGGGTTTTTTTCTGGCTATCCAAGAAAACTTTTGAGCCTTTATATGTTTTTCCAGCCTTTTTTTTTTTAGCAAGTCTTTCATCACATTCTGAGGCCTACTCACTTCAGAGAAATTTAGAGACCTAAATTTCCTCCCACAGGCTCCTAACACTTAGAGATGGAGCAAACAAAAACTGAAGTTTTTATGGGTGACTCGGTTGATCCATCTTCTTTCTCTTATTAAAACCTATATGAATATGTAGGCCAAGAGATGCCCCTAAATCTCTTTATTTCCCACCTTTCTTACCTGCAAAAATGGGGCTTAGTCTGATATTCTCCCATCCTTCGAGTGCGTGTGTTAAGAGATGAAAAGCAATTTGACAAGTTTTTAAAATGTGCACATGATGCCGTAAAATTGTATCCCTTCTACCATCTTTGAAAAATGTTGAAGAATTTTCTGCCTGTTGTTTAGAGATTGAAATAAAGTGAACAATCTTTGTAAGGGAAGATTTATCCACATCCTCCCAGGTATCATTAGGGAAGTATCAAGGAGGAGGCCGTGAACTCTGGCTACAGCTCTGAAGTACACAAACTTGTGGGATCAGGAGAGTTTGACTGCCTCCAGCACCTAATAAATACTACAGCTGATCCCACCGCTCATGAGTAATATGTACTTTTATGATTAGAAGAAATCTAAGTCGTTAGGTTGCATTTCTATTTAGATAAGAGGAAAGTAAGGGCCAGCATGAATTTTTAATTATACATATTTAGAGAGCCTGCGGTCTGCTGCCTCACATAGAATCTATTCATGTAAGGTCCTTGTAAATTATGTTAAGCTGGTTTAGACCAGTAGGAGTCACAAGGACACCTCTTAATGTATGAAAAGCAACCATTAAAGAAACAAAAACTGAATGTAAAGGAGTGGTAGGAACCACCCATGTTTCCTACCTATTTTGGGATCTTTCCTTCGGAATTAGCTATAAGCAAACCTCATTAAATGCCCCCATACTCTACCTCATTGGGGTTGGAGTGGTGGAAGGGAGTATAGAAGCTTGAAAACACCACTGCTTGGTTGTAGGACAACAGAGAGATTCTCCTTTAGAAATGCGCAGAATGTTCTGGATTGGGGTGGGTGTCAGATACCTTAAGTTTTAATAATATCGTTGCCAGTGATCAGCTTCAAGAAATGTCTGGATTTTAATCTGGGTAAGAGAGGTCACTTCTAGAGATAATATTCCGATGTAAAATTGTGGTCTTTTTGTTTGAGAATCTAATACATGAAAGAAAGAACACAAGTTTTGAGGTCATCTACTCATTCACTCAACAAATACTTACTGAATATCAACCATATGCCAAGCACTGTGCGAAATTGCATGTACAGCAGAGAAGACAGAGACTATAGATCCAGCACACATGGGAAACAAAGTCAGCACACTTGCTTCTTACATCACCCTAAACCCAACACCCTATTCATTTATTTCATAAACACTGTCCCATAAGTCTGTATTTTTCACAGGAGAGGTGGGGTAGTCAGGAGAATTCTCTCAGAACCAAGTTCTGAAGGACAAAAAGGACACCATCATTAGAAGAGTAGAAGGAAGAGTGTTCTAGAGGGAACAGCTGGTTTCAAGTCTCCAAGGTGGGGATGAGTTTGATGTACTAAGTTCTTGCAGCTCAAAGTTTGGGGCTCAGACCAGCAGCCTCAGTGTCACCTGGGAGCTTGGTAGAAATGCAGTATTTCACCCCATCCTGTCCAGACCTGTCGAGTCACAAATGCACGTTAGCAAGAACCCGGGTGAGAAATAAGCACATTAAAGTCTGGGAAGCACTCGGTGAGAGGAATTCACAGGAGGCTACAGGCCTGGAACCCGGTGGATCAGGGGTATGGAGAGGGGTCAGAAGATGAATCCTCTAAGAAAATTCTAATCTCAACCGGCCGCTCCTCCAACCTTAAGTCTTTCTGCCTTGTTTCCAAACCTACAACTTTTGTGTCTTTGAAGGAGATTATTTAGCTTCTCTTAATCCTTGCCTTAATCCTTTCTACAATCCTACAAGGAAGCTATTGTTACTCCCATGGAGCAGATGAGGAAACTGACTATCCAAGTATTTAGGATCTTTGGCCCACAAGTGGTGTTCTGAAGATAGGAGCAATGGCTAGAAGCCTTTTTTTCTGGGCTCTTCATAAAGGAAACCAATGTGAATTGATTAACTTGATGCAACCTTGGAAAAAGATGTCTTTTCACTGTGATATAATCTTGTGCATCTCAAAGTCCAGCTCCTTGTAAAACTTAGTGAGGGATAGGTATTTTAAGGGTTTTAGTGCATACCTGCTTAGCAGCATTGCCCTTCTGTTGACACCCGTTTGGTTTACCCCAGAAGAAGGTGCATTCTTCAGGGAGTTCTGTGGTTTACATTTCCCCTGGGCATCTGGTCTTTGGCCTTGTGTTTCTTGGCCTCACGGCTACAATGTCTGGGTGACCAGCCCCTCTCCCAGACATTTGGCCTGTCCTATAAATAGCTTCTTTCTCCCCCTTATGGCCCAGAATCTCCCAATGGCCCAAGTTTGGCATACCCTGTGATCATAATCTGATTTTTGTAGGAAAATCCCCTGGATTAACATCTATGCTCAAGTCCAACACGACAAGGAGCAGGAGATGATTGGGTCAGTGAGCCAAAGTGAAAACGCCCCCAAAATCACACTCAGTGACTTCACCGAGCCCGAGGAACTGCTGGACAAAGAGCTGGACACCCGGGTCATAGGTATGTGTGCTGGTACAACAAGCTCCTGTGTCCCCCATCCTCCAAACGTGAGGGCAGTCAGCCCACGTGGCCTGTCCTTCAACTCATGTCAAACTGGAGGTGGGTGGGAAACGGCTGGCTACAGAGACATAATCGTGTTTTTTAAAATTTGTCTGCCACCTTTGGCCACATGAAAGTGGCAGATTTTTTTTTTCCTTAAAAGTAGACGAAGATCGAAAGTGCTGGAGTCAGAGTGGGGGAGGGATGAGGCCAACTCTCCATCACTGTTGGGATTTTTCCTTTCTTCTATGAAGCAAAAGCAGTAGATGTCCTAATTCATAACCACATACAAGAGGGCTCTAGCATATTCCTCATCTGTGAAATGGGAATAATAGTACCTACCTTCTAAAATTGTGGTGATAATGAAATGAGAGTATGTCATTAGCCCAGTGCCTGCCACAGAGGATGTGTTCACTGCATATTGGCTCTTAGTGTTGTCATGAGTGGTGTGTAAGGTGACAAGTCATTGCTCCCTCCTCGTGTGCTGGTGTGGGAAGTGTACACTTTAAACATAGGTGACAGAAGCCAATGAGCTGGTAGTATAGGCTAGCCAGGTGTCCCATTTAATAAATACCTATCAAGCACCCGTTCAAGATGGCTTGGTATGTAGCAGTAAATAAAATAGACAAGATTCCTGCCCTTGTGAAATTGACATCCTCTTTCTGTCTGTCTGTCTGTCTTCTCTCCCCTGCAGGAGGCATTGCCGCCATTGCAAACAGCGAAAGCACAAAGGAGATCCCCAACTGCACTAGCGTTTAACACCAACCAGCCACGTGGTCAGCCATCTTTCTGACTTTATTTTTGATGATTACTATGACTATTATTATGGAAAAAATGAAAATGTCTTTTTTACCTTTTGTTTACCAAGGGCCCCTTCATAAATAGCAGGCAGATGCTTAGCTTTGGGAGACAAAAGGCATTCTTAGCTGGTTAAAATGAGACAAAAAGAATAAATGGCTGTATTTGTGCTAAGGGCAAAGGAGGCATCTTCCGCTGGCCTTCTTGCTTTCTTCTGCCACTGACCATGTGAGGACTCTCTTTTTCCTTGTGGTCTCTTCTTTTTTTTTTTTTCCTTTTTTTAAGTTGGGTTAGCTTCTCATTAACCTCCCATGCCCCCCTTCCCGGCCCCCCAACATCACCCACACCCTACCCCCAGCACACACACTCTAAGACATAGACCGTTTCCCAGTTAGATTTGCAGGAGATGGGTTGGTGGGGAGCGAAAGTAGGTGCAGAAAGCGTGCATACACCTTTATGAGAAAGAGGCCCTCGCCTCATGCATGTCAATAGCGAGGCTACAGATGGCTTACTGTATATAATTACAATGTAAATAGCTTTTTATTTCCTAAGAAATAATTTAATGTTTAGTAAAAAAGAAAACAGAAAAAAAGAAAGATGCGTGTGTTGGCTTATGCACTCACCCTCAGAGCTGACCAACCCCCAGGCCTGCTAGATGTGTTGGGTTCTGGACGCTCTCCAGTTGTCTGTCACACTTAACTCTTGCATCTCTGTGTCCCATGCCATAGCTGGTTTCTACTTATGTATATAAAGGGGTGCAGGGTGGGCTTCTTTGGGCCGAGTTGTTAAGGAAGGAGTAGACTGACATCCTAGAACATGGGGGGCTTTCTGTGCCATCGGTGACCTGGAAGAAGTTGCAAGACAAAGCCCACCAGAGACTTCAAACTGAGACGCAGGTGGGGCAACAGGGCTTCCCCTCCAAAAGGAAAGCATGGAGGATGTTTATCAGGCTGAGAAGATGATGGGTTTTCTCTAAAGAAGCTCGGCTGTGGATCCGAAAGGGACCGTTTTCCTGCTTTCTGGCTGGATTCCTTCCTCGGCACAGGAGGAGTGAGAGCGCTTGGGAGGGATGGGGCGTTTGTGGCATCACGAGTCTGTGTAAGCCCTTGCAGGCCAAAGAGGGGGCTAGCCTTTCATGATATTAGTCCAAGATGATTTTAGCAAAGCTGTGCTATTTGCTTGTCAGATGTACTCAACTTCCTTAAAGTCAAATGTCTGCCTTCAGTTTCCTTAAGATAGTTCTTGCCTCTGGGTGAGCGGCTTTCCAAGCCAGCTTTCTCGTTCCCAGCCGCCTGGCCCCTCCACCCACTCACACACACCACTTCTGTTCCATAGGGTCACTTTAAGCCATGACGTAAGCATTCTTTTCTTTTCAGGTGCAGCCTGAGTACACTTGTTTTACAAAATGATACACTGTATATATATATGGGAGGAAAGGCCAGATTTTGTACCTGTTAATTTTTGTGAGCTCTCGTTTGCCTTCTTGTCTGTGAGACCCTGAGAGAATGCGACCTAGAGAAGGCTGACTGGCTACAGCGCAGATCAGGAAAAGGAGTGCTTCTAGAGATCCTGCTTTTTTGTTTCAAGGGTTAAATGGGGCAGACAATTGCAATACTTGTACTAAATACTGGAATACAAATGCATGAGTCATGTCTATATATACAGTATATGTACATATACTGTTCTTGATTTTATTGTCCCATTTGAATATTTCTACTGTAAAAAAAAAAGACAGTGGTTTTGAAATTGTTGAAAATAAATGTATTTTTGTACATCAAAGCTATATACCTGGCTGAGATTTTTCTCTTTGGGCTGGTTTCTTCACCTATTGCTGTCAGTCGGCTATCGCTGCAATAAGGCTACATGGCCAAAACCAAAACAGAACAAATAGCTTATAACCCAGATATATATGTTTTACTCATGAATCTCCAGGTTGGTTGCAGTTTGCCTGAACTCCATTGAACTGACCAGGCTCTCCTGAACTAGTTGGGATGCTGGCTTCAGTTGGAGATCCAGGCTTGCTTCATGAGTTGTCATCTTCTGGGACCAGATGCCACCCAGGGCATGGTCTTTCATGGTGGATTACAGAATTCCAAGTGAGGCCAGCAGAATACTCTTTGCCTGTAAGGCCTTGGCTCAAAATGGTCATCCTGTTTACCATTGTCTCCATTCTGTTGACTAAAGGAAACCACATGGCCACACCCAGCATCAGTGGGACAGGGAAATAGGCTCCACCTCCTCTGGTGTAAGGTACCACAGAGTTACATGACAACAGTATGACAACAGGATTCTGGTCTAGGGGAGGGCATGATATGTTGGGAACAGTAGTAACGATAGTTCAGTCTACTCTACTTATTCATTTTCTGTGGTCCTGGGGGGAGCTTTCATTAGATGGCCCATATTCAAGTTTCCCACCCCAATATTTGTGGCCAGGAACTTCTGAGTGGAAAGTTTGGCAACCACAAGATCTTTGAGTGGCATCAGATCCCACTGAGTGGTAGATAGAACTGCAACGTGGGCCTTGAAGACTTTAGCAGAGAAAATGAAAAGAGGAGAGGGAACCAAGAAGACGTATATTATTTTTTTCACTTTTATTATTGTTAACCTTTTTAATGCTGTTTGATGCATCAAACCAGCAAAAGATCTTCTCTTGCCTACTGCTGAGTAAGGAATTTGGAAGAATGAGTAGGTCTTCTCCACATTAGATAATAAGGGAACGTGAACTAAGTACTTAGAATAAGGGCTGTAAGTTAGATGTTTTAATCTTTTTAGTGTTCAAACTATGTAATAAATTACCGTGGATCCCAGAAACCCAAGAAACCAGAGAACTTTGGTCATTAATTTACTCCTATATTTTGGATGCTAGCTGACCATTCCAGAATCATATTTTCTGAACTCAAATGATTAAGATGTAGGATGAAACAAAGGTTTTCTTTTGATTTGTGAATGTATTTAAAAATTATGTATTATTCTTGGTGTAACTGTTCTTGGATTCTACTCACCTTTTAAAAATTATAATATATAATTAACTTCTTCAAATATTGAGTCATTTATGTTACCTTTAAAAGAAACATTTTTTTTTGTTTGTTTTGGTCTAACTAGTGATTCGTAACATAAAGTGCCTGCACATCTTGAAGGGGTTTATAAGGAGCCTCCCCAGTAATGTAATCTGTCTGATATTCTGATCCCACATCAAAAGTATTTTTCCAAATGCAATAGTTTTTGCTTTCCAATGGGATCTGAGCCCTTCCCATGTTCGTTTACATTGGGGTTGATAAAATCACTCCACCAGATTAAAAAGGACGGAAGTGAAATATGTGGTAAAACAGCATTAGTCAGCTGGTTCCTTTGGGCTAAGCCATGCCAGGAATAGAGACTGTGCATCCCCCACCAGCACAGGTCTGCCAGATTTCTCCTAGCAGACAGGCAAAGGCAGATAGCAGAGAGTGTATTTCTCTGTCGGGTTTCTCACTGGAATTGTCTTCTCTCAGGAGATTCTAAACCCGATAAGCAAGCCCGAAGAAGTCCTCAGGGTGGAGCCCAGCTATCAGCACCTGAAGCAGAGCTTCTGAGGATTCTCCCGTCAAAGTTAGAGAATAACTGCTCTATCCACCACTGAAATCGCTCAGGGAGAGTTACTGGGGAAAGGGCACCTCCCCTGGCTCCTGTTACCATGATACAAGGCACCTTCATCTGCAGAAGTGAGAACCACTTCCAAATTGGCTCGTTTCCTCCTGGGCAACAGCTGCAGCTCTGAGAGAGCCACCCGATTGAGTTATCTGGAACAAAAACACACTGCGAGTCAAGGTGGTGATGGATTGCGCCTTGGAAAGAATATTAAGCCAGGAATTAGGAGATCTCTGACTTTCAGCCAGTCACTCTGGACCACGATTTCTTATTTGCAAAAGGCAAACCCTTTATGGCCTGACTCACTGGCTACTTTGGATTTACAGAGGTGCAAAGAGCACATTGCCAATTCCAGAATTGATAGATGACTAGGATGAGCATACGTAGGGGACCTCTCTTAGTCCGTAGCCGGGTCAACTGGGAGGCAGAGAGTGAAGTGACTTCCCTAAGGTTAGACAGCAAATGAGTGTGGAGCTGAAGATGGAACCCATATCTTCTTGATATTAGGGCAGTGTTCTTTCCACCACATACCCTCCTGACAAAGGCAAAACTGAACGACACGTTACAGAACGTCAGTGGACAGCCTGATGCTTATGCCAGGATGGCTCCTGTATTTCGAGCGTCTGTAACGGTTTAGAATCTAACTTCCCAAATGTGCTCCTCATCTAGTGGCTCACACCCTCCCTCCACATGTCATTGCCCTGCTGACCCACTTGTTTAGCAGCCCATGGCCTGATGCCCTTGCTTCCCTCACTTTGCAGAAAGAAGGCTGCTCAACAGACAGCTGCCAGGCCCCAGCTTCCCAATTTATGCTGCTTGCCTTTTAAAGCAGTTGGCCTCGTTCATAGGGAAGAAGGCCAGAGAGCAAACATAAGCAATGGGAATGCCTCATCCTGACACACACACCAGATCCTGCCAAATTCTGTCTCCTCCAACGATACTGCCGAAGGGGACCAGATGTAGCCCAACAATTTCCTCCCGAGTACTACTGCATCTTGATGTCCCTTAAACTTGGTTTAATTGCCATTAACTTTACAGTAGCACAGTGCCCTTTTTTTTTTAAAGATTTTATTTATTTATTTGACAGAGAGAGAGAACAAGTAGGCAGAGAGGCAGGCAGAGGGAGAGGGAGAAGCAGGCTCCCCGCTGAGCAGGGAGCCCGATGTGGGGCTCGATCCCAGGACCCTGGGATCATGACCTGAGCCGAAGGCAGCAGCTTAACCAATTGAGCCACCCAAGTGCCCCCACAGTGCCCTTTAAAATGCTCTTTGCTTCTGTGTTCTCAGGCCATATATCATGATGAGATATAGGTTCATTCAGAGAGGAATCAATGGGATGTTGTATACAAAAATGGGAGGAGAGCCTCACTTAGAGTTCAATTTATTTAGAGATGAAAAGTCTCAATAAAACTCCATTACTTTTTCATTGTCTGAAGCCCAGAGGGGTATAATGACATAATCAGG